TCATTACTGAGCTAAAACGGTGTCCAGGGGCCATACTCTCAGGGTTTCTCCAATCTCTGGCAGGTCAGTAAGTCTGGTCTTTATTTGTGAGTTAGAATTTTGTTCTACATTTTTCTCCAGCTCTATCCAGGACCCTTTATTGTGATCCCTGTCAGAGAAGTCAGTGGTGGTAGCCAGGCACCATCTAGTTGTGCTGATCTCAGTCTGGCAGAGGCTGTGGTAGTTGTGGTCCATTCATCATCATATTTGAGCCAGTTTTGCAGGGTATATTATTCTTGGTTGGCAATTTTTTCTTTCAAGATTTTATATATATCATCCCATTGGCTTCTTGCCTGCAAGGTTTCTGCCGAATAATCAAAGCTTAGTCTTGTTTCCCCTCTGTATGTGACTTTCCGTTTTTCTTGAGGTGTTCTCAGGAGTCTTTATTTTTGGTTTTAGCGAGTGTGATTATGATATGCCTTGGTGATTTTCTTTTGGGGTTTATTGTATATAGGGTTCGTTGAACTTCTTGGATGGTCAGCTTTTCATCTTTCATGATATTAGGGAAATTTTCTGTCAGCAGTTCTTCAATGATCCCCTCTGTGTTTTCCGTTTTCTCCCCCTGTTCTGGGACTCCGATCACTTGCAAATTTTTGCTTTTGATTGTATCCCACATCATTCTCAGGGTTTCTTCATTTTTCTTGGTTCTTTTTTTCTGATTTTTCCTCAAAGTGATATCCAAATGTTTGTCTTTAATTTCGTTGATCTTGTCTTCCATTGTTTCACACCTGCTCCTCAGACCTTCTATGACACTGTCCATTTCTGAAGTTTTGTTGTTTAATTTTTGGATCTCTAATTGCTATTTTTGTATGATTTCTAGTTGTCAATTTCTTTTGACATTTTGTTCCTATATTATTTTCCTGAATTCTTCCATTGTTTTATCTGTCTTTTCCATGATTTTCTCTGCATATTCCATGATTTTGTCTATTTTTTCCTCATTTTTGTCTGCTTTTTGCTTCAACTCTTGGATAGTGCTGAATATTAGAGATTTGATTTCCCCATCAGGTAGTTCCAGTGCTTTTTTTGCTACTGAAGGTCATCTGGTGTTTTATTTGGGCACCTACTGGGATCATCTTGTCCTGTTTTTTTATATGTTTTGGTATTGTCTGCTCTCTTCGGTACATTCTGTAGTTATTTTCTTTGTTTATCAATTGTATATTTGTTTCACACTGCTTTTTTGTTTTATTTGGTTATGTCTGAGCAGTAGGGCTTGGCGTTCTTTGTTGTTTGCTCATCCGTGGGCATGATACTTCTCACCACCTTGTCCAATGGGCAGGGCCAGTTGCTCTGCTATAGTACAGCAGGACAGGTCCAGCAGAAGGTGAGGGACTGGGATGGGTTTTTATGTGGCATGTACTGGGGCTGACAGGGCCTGGTTGGGGGGCCAGTGCAGGACAGGTTCCGGTAGACTGTGCCTGTGCTGTTTGGGGGTCCAGTCTTCAGCACATGGTGCAGATAGGCAGGAGGGAGGTTCGAAGTTGTGATGTGTGGAGCTAAGTGTGTGTGGGAAACAAGAGAAAGAGAAGAGAGAAGGAAGAGGCAAAAAAGAAAAAAAAAGTGGTGATGGAGCCTGTTGTTAGAGTGGCGTAGAGCTGGGGAAGCTGTGTGCTGTTGGCTTTCTAGCCAGGTGATGAGGCATAGCCTGTCAAGAAGGGACAGATATGGCACACGAAGCTAGATAGGCAGGAGAAAGGAAAGGAAGGGAGGAATGATAAGAAACTAGATTTTAAAAAAAATGAGAAAGAGGCACACATGGCTAGGTAATCGGGAGAAAGGAATGGAAGAAATGTATAGAGAGATAGGAAACCGAGAAAAAAAGAAAAAAAGATGCCAGGTGGTTGGGAGGAAGTAAAGGAAGGGAGGTAGAGAAAGTCAAGAAACCAAGGAAAAAAAGTAGAGAGAAGGAAAAAAAAAAAAAAAAAAAAAGCCTCGAGCCCACTGGAAGCTGGTCTCCAGCCAAGTGGCACTGCACAGCCTGTCAAGAAGGAGCAGAGATGGCACATGGCCCCAGTTGTTCGGGAGAAAGGTAGGATAGGAAGGTAGAGGGAGACAAGAAAAGAGAAAAGAGAAAAAAAAATGATGCCCCAAGGGACCCCACTGGTGTGATGGCGTGGACTGGGGAAGTGGCTCTCCAGCCATGTGGCATGGCACAGCCTGTCTAGAAAGGGCAGAGATGGCACATGGTACCAGGTATTCAGGAGAAAAAAAGGGAAAGAAGGTAGGGAGAGAGAAGAAATTGAAAAAAAATCCCCAAGGGAGCCTTCTTGCTTGATGGCATGGACCAGGGAAGGGCCTCCCAAGCCACTAGGCACTGCAGAGCCCATCTAGAGGGGGCGGAGATGGCACATGGTGCCAGGTGTTCAGGAGAAAAGAAGAGAAAGATGGTAGAAAGAGACAAAAAAAAAAAAAAATCCCCAAGAGAGCCCACTGGCTTGGTGGTGTGGACTAGGGAAGTGGCTCCCAATCTGCTAGGCACTGCACAGCCTGTCTAGAAGGGGCAGAGATGGCACACAGTGCCAGGTATTCAGGAGACGAGAAACCAAGAAATGAAGAAAAACAAAAAGGAAAAAAGAAAAAATTAATAAAAATAAATAAATGAAATTCCCCCTAGGGATCCCACTGGTGTGGCAGTGTCGACTGGGGAGGTTGCTCCCAAGCCATGTGGCACAGTCTGTCTAGGAGGGTAGAGATGGCACACAGCTCCAGGTATTCAGGAGACAGGAAAAGAAGGAAAGTAGAGAGAGAGTAGAAACCGAGAAATGAAGAGAAACAAAAAGGGAAAAAGAAAAAGAGAAAAAAAAAAACACCCCCAAGGATCCCACCAGCATGGCGGTGCGAACCAAGGAAGTGGTTCCTCAGCCGAGGGGTGCTTCAGTCTGTCAGGAAGAAGTGAGATGGGACACGGAGCCAGGTTTTCGAGAGAAAGGAAGGGGCGGAGGTGAAAGTGAGAGAAGAAACCAAAAGAAGCTGAAAAAAGCAACAACAGCAACAAAAAAAATAGCAGTGAAGGAGCTGGCCAGTGTGGGCAGGGCAAATCCAAGCAGCATGGAGCCAGTGCCTTCCTGGCCGACTGACCTGCAGGGAAGTGGCAGAGGCTGAGCAGGGGGAAGAAGGGTGAGGGGTGGGAAAGCGTGTATCACTGGTTACCAAGTACACTGTCTCCTGCTGGCAGCTCCTTGAAGCTATCTTCTCATACTCTCTGTTCACTGATCTCAGTGACTGAGGAGTTCAAGATGGCAAATCTGTGCTTTGTTAGCTTGTAATGGACTTCCACTCCATACCTCTCCTTGCTCTCTGTTCTCTGTCAGTTTCTTATTCCATTTGGTGCTTGGTTGAGTTCTTTACCTCTTCATTTGATGCTTAGGATTCCAGGATTGACATCTGTCTCTGTTTTACTTAGTTTTTCAGGTGTTTGGTGTGGAGGGACAGCATGGTGCTTCCATCTATAGTGCCATGTTGGCTTCACCTCTCCCTAAAAGCATGATTTTTAAATATCTGAATAGTATTCCATCATATGCCTATCATATTTGACAGTTTCCTCCTCTTGAATATATGGGTGTCTTAGTCATCCGGTGCTGCTATAATTAGTCATCTAGTGCTGCTATAACAGAAATACCACAAGTGGATGGTTTTAACGAAGAGAAGTTTATTTCCTCACAATCAAAGTAGGCTAAAAGTCCAAATTCAGGGTGTCAGCTCCAGGGGAAGGCTTTTTCTCTCTGTCTGCCTTCTCATCAGTGTTCCCCCAGACTAGGAGCTTCTCGGCACAGGGACCCCAGTCCAAAGGACGCGCTCTGCTCCTGGCACTGCTTTCTTGATGGTATGAGGTCCCCCTGTCTCACTGTTCACTTCTGTCTTTTATATCTATCTCAAGAGATTGCCTCAGGACACAATCCAGTCTTGTAGATCAGGTCATGCCTTACTAACACAACTGCCACCCATCCTCCCTCATTAACATCATAGAGGCAGGTTTACAACATATAGGAAAATCACACAGTACCAGGAATCATGGCCCAGCCAAAGTGATACACACATTTTTGGGGGGACATAATTCAATCCATGACACTAGGTTACTCAAAAATTTCCCTATTATAAATCACAGTATGGTTTACATTCTTGGTTGTAAATATTTATGCATATCCCTGATTATTTCCTTGATGTAAAGTGCTACAAGGGGAGAGAAAATTTGTTCTCAAGAAAACTTTTGGTATGTTATATTCATGACCTTTTTGTTCTCAGGCAGGAAGCTTCCCAGATGCTCCAGCGCTCCTGTTCTACACTCACTTCAAATCACTTAATTAAACGGAATTAATTTCTACTGCATCTAAAAATTGCTTATTTCCAAAAGTCCAACCTGAGAAAAACATGTCAAAGAAAAGGCTTAGAGTTTTAATAATAGCACCATCTATCTAATAATCACTAAATGTATGTTAAATAGTAGTAAATGTTTAAGTACAATTGTTGTCTTTCTCACTAATCCTTAACTCTTGCTTTACCAGTATGTGGTTTAGTTATTGAACTATCATGCCAGGCATTATGCTAAGCACCTTGCATTATTATCACATTACATCCTCATAACAATTCTCTGAATTAGATGCTATTATTATCTCATTTTGGAACCCTGGTGGTGCAGTGGTTAAGAGCTTGGCTGCTAACCAAAAGGTCAGCAGTTCGAATCCACCAGCCGCTCCTTGGAAACCTTATGGGGCAGTTCCACTCTGTCCTATAGGGTCATTAAGAGTTGGAATCGACTCAACGGCAATGGGTTTGGTCTTTTTGGTTTATTATCCCATTTTGCAGTTTGGAGAAACTGAGGATCAAGGAAGTTATGTAATCTGCCCAAGGTCAACCTACTAAGTGGCAGAGCTGGTCTTAGACTGAGGTGTGACTACAGAGGCTAGGAATACTTTATTGCCTTTTTGATTTAACTTGGTCACCCTGTCTTTGTATGGACCCCACAGGAAAACAGAAGAAGGAAGAACAGCCAGTGGAAGAGATGCTGGAAGAGCTGCGGGCCAAGCTGAAGCGGACCCAAGAAGAGCTGGAAACCCAGAGGAGGGCTGAGAGGCAGCGGCAGCTCCAGGTGGACATGGAGAAGAAACGTCAGGGAGACTTGGGATGGATGACTACTCAGGAGACCCATGAGGCTTATCTATTCCCTGGGGCCAAAATTCCTGCTGGCTTTCCCAGAGCTGGGAGTCAGAGCTGGAATGACACCTTTCCAGACTTGACGAATGATTTTAGGTAGCCTGGAAAGGAAAATTAAATTCTTTTGTGAGACCTGTATGGCCAAAAGTGGAGCGGAGAGTTGCAGTCTCCTGCATTATTCAGCACTCTCTGAGGGCATTCCAACCTGAATTTTAACTTCTTACACTGTTCTGTTAGCTGGCTGTTTGAGGACAAAGACTGGGTCTGATTCTAAAAGCTCCAGAACCCAGCCCAGAGGAGATGCCCAATAAATATTTGTAGAATGAAAATGCATAAACTTGCCTTATTCATTTCTTCATTTATTCCTTCATTATTCATTTACTCAGAATGCATTTACTGAGCACCAACTATGCCAGGCATTGGGAGGGATATAAAGAGAGAGAAGACATGATTCCTATCATCAAGGGACTTTACAGTTTAAATAAGACTGTGGCCCACTCCAAGTCTAAACAATGGGGACTATGGGAAAAATTTTCTTTGGGTCTCCCTAGCAGGTCCTCGGTAAATACTTGCCATAATGTGAAATTAATGATTCCATTGTGCTTGCTTTTCTTTGTAGGAGGCAGAGATCATTCGTGAGAAGGAAATAGAAGCTAAGAAAGAATTTGATGAATGGAAAGAAAAAGAGAGGACCAAGCTTTATGGGGAAATAGACAAGCTAAAGAAGTTATTTTGGGATGAATTTAAAAGCGTTGCCAACCAGAACTCTATGCTAGAAGAGGTACCCTACATAAAAGCTTTTCAAAGTGCTTTTGTTGAAAGTCTACTTATTCTCAAAATTCATTTCTTAGTTTGTACAAGTTTTATTTCATCTTCCATGTGAGGCCAGATTCCAGAGGCCAGGATCTGGATTTGAATCCTTGCTCCATCACATACTGGCTGTATGACCTTGGGTGAGTTACATAACCTCTCAGTGCCTCAGTTTCTTTTTTATAAGATAGGTTGCTTGAAAGGATTAAATTAGCACATATGCAGCACTTAGAACAGTATCTGGTGTATAGCAAGAACTCCCTAGATATTATTCTTATTTTTGCAAAGGGTTTTTTGTGACTGGACAAGAAATGAGACAAAATTTAAGTGAATGCATTTTTCTCCCAAGAAACTGCCAGACATGCTGTTGGGCTCTGTGGGGGATACACATAACAGCTAATATTTACTGATTGTACTTAGTATTTTCCAGCCCCTGTGCAGAGCAGTTTGTGCACACTAACTTTTTATTTTCATAACAACCAAACAACCATAACATTCTCAGTCTGGGTACATTATTAGTTTATTAATTTCTTTTTTAATGTTCTTAAAAAAAAAAGCTATTATCAGTCTTCCTTTGCAGGTAAGGAGATTGAGGCCAAGTAACTTTCCCAAGATCATACAGCCAGTAAGAGATGGAGCTGGGATTTGAACCTAGCTCTTCAAACTCCAAAGACCCTATTTTTCTACTGGATGTACTATCAAGTTTATTCAGGAAAACTTTATTAAACTTATCACTGGACCATATCTTTCCATACAAGCCTGTATGACTAAAATTGTGTCAGGGAAAAGTTTTGAGGAAAAATATTTTCAAAATGCATTTAGCTCTCATTAGCTCTCCTGAGATCAAGGAAAATCTTTTCTTGTGTTTTGATAGAAAACTGACTTCTGGTGTTTTTCACAGTCATTCTACTTTTTGCCTAAAGAAACACCCAGGTAACTTTCCCAAAAGAGGATTGTCATAGGAGATGCTTGGAGTGTTGGGTGATCCACCATCTCAGTCTGAGATGGAGAGTTGAGGATGGAGGGCTGTGGGGTGTGTGAGTAATCTATAATGGCCCTAGCCCTCTCATCCTAAATGTTCCCCAACACTGGTCAGGGATGACTTGTGGAAGACAGGGTGCTGCTCCACAATATGGAGCATGCTCCTAACACCCATCTCTGTGTGCATCATTACAGAGCTCACCTAAACCTCCTCTGACTCACACGCTTCCCCTGACACAGTGCTAGCTGAGTTATCACTGCAATATGCGTTGTTTGATTTCTTAACTACTGATTCCATCAGGCAAGCTTGGGTTTTGAGTACAGCAGAATTTCAGTGAATTTGAAATTACACTCTTGAATTCTGTTCTTCCATGGGAACCTGCTTCTCCTGTACAAGGGCTAACCCCTCAGGAGAACTCTAAAGAGAACCAGTTGCCATCAAGTCGATTCCGACTCATGGTGACCCCAGGTATGTCAGAGTAGAACTGTGCTCCATTGAGTTTTCAGTGGTGGTTTTTCAGAAGCAAACCGCTAGGCCTTTCTTTTGAGACGCCTTTGGGCGTGCTCGAACCTTCAACCTTTGGTTATCAGTCAAGTACGTTAACTGTTCTCAGCCTGTAGGAGAACTCTAGTGAAGGGGAATGCTGATTTTTAGTGAATATTTGCAGGCATGTAAGTATTTAGTTGGAAGTTCTTGGTTGAGATAAGGTGTGCCCTTCAGATGCAGCTCAAGATATAAAAGACATCATGATCAGATGGTTATCTAAATAAAACTGTCCTGGACTTTTCAGAAACTGCAGGCGCTGCAGTCCCACAGCGTGGCAGAGTCCAACCTTGGGTCCCTGAGGGACGAGGAGTCTGAGGAGCGACTCAGGCAGGCACAAGAGCTCCGGGCCTTGAGGGAGAAGATGGAAATTCAGGTGAGCTGATGCCCCATGCTTTTCTTCCCAGATCTGGCCAAGAACCATGTTTGGTCTCTTGTTCTGCTGGATGGATTTAGATAAGTTCTGCAAACACATGAACGCTTAGAATAGGGTTCTCAGGTGAGGGTGGTGATATGCACGTGTGCAATATCAGATTCACTGGGGCTCTTTTTCAAAATACATACAGCTGTGCCTCCTATTTGGCACCTCTGCCCTCATTTTGATCTCAATCCAGTTGAAAACAACTCTTAGAAAGTGTAGTAGTCTCCTGATTTCAAGATATTTGGGATGGATTCAGTGGTGTTTAATAACCAGTTCTCCAGAATAAAAAAGCCCTGATGTGTAGCATTTGCCAGTTTCCATGGTGTAAATATTCCCACCGTGGATGATTTCAAGTTACCAGTATGAGGTCACTGTATATGGAGTTGGGAGGAGATGTGCACAATCTGCTCTTGCAAGCCTGTGGGAGACAGCTGCAGCCACACTGAATGAATCTTACTGCAGTCCATTTATATGATGATCTGTTCACTGATGAATTCAGTGACAAGGAAGGACAATAGGCACAGTCAATAAATCATGTGCTTCTGTTTCTGCTTTCCAAGTTTGTTGAGAAAGAGCTTAGTGTCTAGCTTTCCACAAGTTTCACATTTTAAAAAAGCCATTCTTTGTCTATGAACTATGTTCACATCCTATGCCTACTCTTCTATTAATGGTGCTTTACTTACCAATTAGTGTTTGTATAAGGCATGGAAATTAACCATATGCTGTTCTTGTTAGGCTATTTTGCCCAGTTTTCTATGGGTTCTTCAACTTGGTTTATCATGGGGTTGGCCATGCAAAAATTTAAAGTGTTTATATGGTCAAAATTATAAATTTATCAATCTTTTCTTTGTGGCCTTCCCCACTCTGGGATTAAAAAAAAATCTTCCATGTCTTTTTTGTTTAGTACCTTTATGGCCTTATTATTTAGTTATTATTTTTTAAGTGATAAATTATTTTTATTTTTTAAAGCATTTTATTGTGTTTTTGATGAAAGTTTACACTGCAAATTAGGTTCTCATTTAACAGCTTATATACATATTGTTCAGTGACATTGGTTACATTTTCCACATTGTGTCAACATTCTCATTATTTCTGTTCTGGTTGTTCCATTTCCATTAATCCAGCTTCCCTATCCACCCTTGCCCACCGACCTTCTCATCTTTGCTTTAGGGTAAATATTAACCATTTGGTCTCATATTGATAATTTTTTTTTAAAGGAGCACAGTACTCACGGGTGATATTGTTTATTTTATGAGTCAATCTGTTATTTAGCTGAAAGGTGACCTCCGAGAGTGGTTTTAGTTCAAAGTTTAAAGGGTATCTCAGGGTGATAGTCTGGGGACCAGTAAGTCTGCTGTTTTTAAAGAATTTGAGTTTCGTTCTACAATTTTCTCCCATTCTATCGAGGACCATCTATTATGTCCCTGGTCAGTATGTTTGCTAGTTGTAGTCCTGGTCTCAGGATAGATGAGGCCATGGTTCCAAAAGGCAATTAGTCCTGTAGACTAGCTTCTTCGAGTCTTTGGTTTCTTGCTTTCTCTTTTGCTCCAGATGAGTAGAGACCAATAGTTGTATCTTAGATGGTCAATCACTTGCAACTTTTAAGACCCCAGACCCTACTTACCAAACTAGGATGTAGAACATAAACTTTATGGACTGTTATGCCAATTGACCTAGTGTCCCATGAGACTATGGTCCTAAGCCTTCAAAACCAGTAAACCAATCCCGCAAAGTATTTGGTTATGTCTGGGAAGTATCTGTGACTGTGCCGCCTACATGCTTTATTATACATATGAACATATGTGCAGCACACTGAAACATGTATATATGTATGCCTACAGATACACCTATACATGCATACATATATATATACATATACCTTCCTATACACATATTTGCATACCTGTATAACCACTCACATATTTTTTTGGTTGTTACTGCTGTTGTTGCAAAATTGTATATGTTATAGCATTTTCCAGTAACACCCCTTATTCATGTGTACTTCTTAGTGTCATTGTTTACCTTGATGAAACTATGTACACTTTACCCACATTTGGTATTGCCTTTCCCATCACCAAAAATAACAACTGTCTACTTTCTAGAAAGTTATTAACCTCTCCCTCCGCCTTCCATTCCTGGAAACCACCAAATAACTTGATTTCTGTATGTATACCTATTTTTGTCTTTTTATAAAAGTGGTATCATATAATATTTGTCCTTTTGTGATTTACTTATATCACTCAGCATAATGTCCTCCAGATTCATCCATGTTATAAGATGTTTTGCAAACTCATTATTATTCTTTATAGCTGTGTAGTATTCCATTGTATGTATATACTACATTTTATTTATATATTTGTTTGTTGATGGGCACTTAGGTTGTTTCCATCTTTTTGCTATTGTGAATAATGCTGCAGTGAACATAGATATGCATATTGGTCTTATTTTTTATGTTTAAATCTTTGACCCACCTGGAATTTATTTTGGTTTAAGATGTGCAATAAACATTCAAGTTCATATTTTTTCCAGGCAGCCAGCCATGTGTTCGAACACCATTACTTAATAATCCATCTCCCTCTAAGTTTCCATTTTTTCCCATGTTTATTTGGGCTTTCTAGTCTATTTCATTGCTCTGTTTGCCTTATCATGAGCTAGTACTTTTTAATTCCTGTAGCTTTATAATATGCTTTAATATTTAGAGGATCCCATTTGATAAACTTTTAATCTTTTTCAGAAAATGGAGTGGAAGAGAAAAATGAAGGAACTGCAGGAAAAGCATGTGGCTCAAAGGAGGGAGGTAGCTCTTGTCGGGTGGCCTGGGGGAGCTTGGTTTCCTGTGACCATCTCTTATAATTCAGTACTTCCTACCTGCCCTCCCCACCAAACTGGCTGGCAGATATTTTACTGCTGATATTGTTCCTGACTGCTGACCTGTATTGATGCCTAGAAGTGGTCAGCCCTGTCAGTGGCTTTCCTGGTCAGGAGCAAGGACCTCCAGGCCTTCTCTTCTGATCTCAGCACATCCATTATTCTGTGGGGTCCCCTTTGTGCTGACCCTTTCAGGCCCTCCAAGAAAGGTAGTGCTATAGGCCTGAGGTGAATAGCCTGGTCATTTTCTGTTTGGACCCTTCTTTGAAATCCTGCCCTGGAGAGAAACAGGTATCTGTGGATTTCAGTGATAGCTCAGGGGGAGCTCAAATGGAAGGACTCAGATATGGAGGACAGTGAACAGAGAGCAGCAGACCTCAGATCAGAGAAAACGGCTTCTATAAAAATGTTCCAGAGGAGAAGTCAAGTTGCAGAAGTTGGCTGACAAGAGCCCCAGGTTCTGTCTGCAGAAAGCTAAGAAGATGAAAACGCTTGGATCAGTCTTCCACATGGTGGCTGCTCCCCACTGCAGTATAGAGGCTCCCACTAATTCCCATCTGAGATTTTATTTTATTCAAAATTTAAAAAAAATTTAAAAATGAGAAATACATTCACATGGTTCCAAAAGCAGAAGAAATATAAAAAAGTACACTGAGTAAAGTCCCACTCCTGGCTGTCCCTGTCTACCTGTATCCAGCACCCACCCCACAGATGACCACCTTTACTGTTTTCTTATGTATTCTTCTAAAGTTTCTTCGGGCAAATACAAACAAATAGTCTCATTTTCTCTCTGTTCTTACACCAGAGTAGCCTGTTAGCACATTTTCTTCACCTCTTCTTTTTACCTAACAACATCCATTGGATGATTTTTGAATGGCCTCAACTTGCCTGACTGCCCTGAAGTGAGCAGTCACACCTGGATGAGAGCCCTTTCTGCCATGGTCTTAGGGGCTTGCATTCAATTCTCACCTCTCCTCAGGCACAGTTCTAAATGTCCAAAGACTAGAAGGTGGTTTTGTTAGAAAGTCAGTTGCCCAGTTCTGGAAATCTGCTACTCTGCTTCAGGTGAAACCACAACAGCATTTACCTACAGGTGCGGGGCCTGCAGACACAGGGCACTGAGAGGTCCCTGCAGATGTCTGACTGATGACCATCCTGTTCCCACCAGCTGCAGAAGGAGAATGAGAGGCTCCAGGCCTCCCTGTCCCAGGATCAGAGGAAAGCAGCTGCCCAGTCCCAGTGCCATACCGGCACCCTCTGCTCCCAGCTGCAGGAGCAGGCCAGGCTCATCGCCTCCCAGGAGGAGATGGTAGGTCGACCCCTCCTCTCAGCCAGGTTCTGGTGCTCCTTGGCTTCTTTCCTGCGAGAATCTCCTTGGATTCTTCTGGGGTCATCGACACTAGGAGTCTGCCTTCTTCCAGGCTGAAGATGTGCCTGTCTTCCTTAGGGGTTGCTGGAAGATGGGCTAACTCTATCAACAGAGACTACATTAAATACCCAGTACCTGTTTGGTTCTTGTTACCTCATTAAGCCTCACTACAGCCCTTTAAGGTAGGCATCACCTCCTCCCGTCTTCATTAGACAAATGACAAAAAGGTTAAGGGCCTTGCTCGAGTTCACACAGGACACTCTATAAATGACAGGGTGAGACTCACCCTTAGTCAGGCAGGTGGAGTGTAAAGCCTGTGCTCCTTATACTATGTTCTCAGGCATAATTTCTTTCTTTCTTTGTACTGTACTTAGATGATGGTTTACAGAGAAAACTAGCCTCTCATTAAACAATTAATACACACGGTGTTTTGTGACATTGGTTGCCAACCCCACGACATGTCAATGCTCTCCCCTTCTCGACCTTAGGTTCCCCATTACCAGCTTTCCTGTCCCCTTCTGCCTTCTAGTCCTTGTCCCTGGGCTGGTATGCCCCTTTAGTCTCGTTTTGTTTTGTAGCCCTGTCTAATCTTTGGCTGAAGGGTGAACCTCAGGAGTGACTTCATTACTGAGCTATAAGGGTGTCTGGGGGCCATGCTCTTGGGCTTTCTCCAGCCTCTGTCAGACCAGTAATCTGGTATTTTTTTATGCGTTAGAATTTTGTTCTACGTTTTTCTCCAGCTCTGTATGGGACCCTCTATTGTGATCCCTGTCAAAGGAGTCATTCATGGTAGTTGGACACCATCTAGTTGTGCTGGACTCTCTGGTGGAGGCTTTGGTAGTTGTGGTCCATTAGTTCTTTGAACTAATCTTTCCCTTGTATCTTTGGTTTTCTTCATTCTCCCTTGCTCCAGGTAGGGTGAGACCAGTGGAGTATCTTAGATGGCCCCTCACAAGCTTTTAAGACCCCAGATGCTACTCACCAAAGTAAAATGTAGAACATTTTCTTTATAAACTATGTTATGAGGCATAATTTCTTAACCAATACTTTTTTCATAAACTGAAAGCCTCTGATGAGGTTTTCTGATAAATCAGTGTGATGACAAGGCACTTACTCACTAAGTAGCTCCCTCCTAAAACTGGCCCCTGTGACTCATATTGCTGATAATTCTCTGCCTTGCTCAGACTCAGCTCCCCCACCTCAGCCCCAGATCTGTAGAGAAGATTGCATCTTTCCCTGTTTGGAGCCCTCCTGTGGCCTCAGGTCCTTGAATGATCTGACACCACCCACCTCAGGGACCACTGTCCACACAGCTTACCTGTACTGAGCACCCACTTCACCGGTCGAGTCTGCTTTTCCTGTGCTTGTAGTCCTGGATTTTCTGTTTTCCCAGCCACACTTCACCCAGTCAACATATGTAATCCACTCCTCTGCTGATTTTCTATTCATTGTTTCCTCCAAAACACTTTTAGCTCTTCACTGCTGTGTCCACCTCGGGTCTAACCTGGAGATTTCCTCCTTGTATTATCAGGACTCTTTTTTGCAGTTATTCAATTAGGAACCCATTGGCTAAGTTAACAGAATAGGTTAATAGCGGTTAATTTTTATTTTAATAGCAAGAGAGTCGGACAGGTCCTGGCCTTGGTTTGGTTGCAAAATTATGCTGTTGGGAATCTAGACTCTGTCTTTCTTTTTCACCATCTTTAGTGTGTTAACTTTGGTTCTCATGCTTGACTTCTCATAGTTGTAAGATGGCTGTCATAGCACCAAGCATCACAACCATATTAAATGGAAGATGTTGATGAAAAGGCCCCTTCCCAAGACTTTAGTTTATATCTTATTGGTCAAAACTGTTTTACATTGACAACTTTAGCTGCAAGGAAAGCTGAGAAAGTGAATAATTAGTTTTACAGCTTCTAGAGTAGAGAGGTAGGCAAGGAGGAAACAGTTGGGAGTGGATGTTGGATCAATCATACTTCAGTATGTGACACAGTAAGTAGCAAAAAGGTAACTCAAGCTTAAGCAGAAGAAGAAATTGGTCATAAGAATTACAGTGTGTCTCAGAGAGCTCAAGGCAGGGGAGCAGCTGAATCTGGGAATAAACTGGAACCAGAGACATGAATTGGTCAGGTGCTTTCCTCTGCTGTTTGTTTCTTTCTCTGTTTCATTTTTTTTCTTTTACTCTGAAGATTAACTTCCTCTCCTTGTCTGTTCCATATGGCAAAATAAACAACAAACTCAAAAGAGCAAAAGAAAAAAGAAAACGGCTGTTGACAGCTGTTGACTTCAGATATTACTTGTCCTGGATTTCTTTTTTTCCCTCCGAGGGAGTGTAGGGGACAGGAATCAGCATTAAAGAATTTTTTTAAATTGTGCTTTAGGTGAAAGTTTACAGAGCAAATTAGTTTCTCATTAAACAGTTAATACACAGATTGTTTTGTGACATTGGTTGCCAACCCCTCGATGTGACAAAACTCTCCCCTTCTCCACTCTGGGTTCCCTGTTTCCATTCGTTCAGTTTTCCTGTTCCTTCCTGCCTTCTTGTCTTTGCTTTAGGGCTCGTGTGCCCATTAGTCTCATATCATGATTGAACTATGAAGCACGTCCCTCACGTGTGTTATTGTTGGCCCTATAGACCTATTTAATCTTTGGCTGAAAAGTGAACCTTAAGAGTGACTTCAGTACTGAGTTAAAAGGGTATCTGGGGGCCATACTCTCGGGGTTTCTCTAGTCTCTGTCAGACCATTAAGCCTGGTCATTTTTTTTCTTTTTTTTGTAAATTTGAATTTTGTTCTGCATTTTTCTCCCGCTCAGTCCAGGACCCTCTATTGTGGTTCCTGCCAGAACAGTCTGTGGTGGTAGCCAGGCACCATTTAGTTGTTCTGGGCTCAGTCTGGTGGAGATTGTGGTTTTTGTGGCCCATTAGTCCTTTGGACTAATCTTTCCCTTGTATCTTTGTTTTTCTTCATTCCCTTTGCTCCAGCTGGCATGAGACCAGTAGATGTATCTTAGATGACCACTCCAGGCTTTTAAGACCCCAGACGCTACAGTCGGATGTAGAACATTTTCATTATAGACTGTTAGGCAATTGAGCTAGATGGCCCCTGAGACCATGGTCCCCAGCCCTCAGCTCAGTAGCTCAGTCCCTTGGGGCATTTGCATGTGTCTGTGAAGCTTCTATGACTTTGCCCTGGTCAAGTTGTGCTGACTTCCCGAGTATTGTATACTGTCTTACTCTTCATCAAAGTTACCCTTATCTGCTATCTAGTTAGTGTTTTTCCCTCTCCACCCTACCCCTCACTCATAACCATCAAAGATTGTTTCTTTCTGTGTGGAAACCATTTCAGAGTTTTTATAACAGTGGTCTCGTACAGTATTTGTCTTTTTGTGATTGACTTATTTCACTCAGCATAATGCCCTCCAGATTCATCCATGTTGTGTGATGTTTCACAGATTCATCAGTGTTCTTTATCGTTGCGTAGTATTCCATTGTGCATAAGTACCACAGTTTGCTTATCCGTTCATCTGTTGATAGGCATTTAGGTTGCTTCTATCTTTTTGCTATTGTGAACAATGCTGCAATGAACGTGAGTGTGCATATGTCTATTCATGTGACAGCTCTTATTTCTCTAGGATATATTCCTACAAGTGGGATTGCTGGATTGTATGGTATTTCTATTTCTAGCTTTTTAAAAAAATTTTTTTTTGTTTATTGTACTTTAGATGAAGATTTACAGAACAGTTTCTCATTAAACAGTCAGTACACATATTGTTTTATGACATTGGTTAACAACCCCATGACATGTCAACACTCTCCCTTCTCGACCTTGGAGGACCTTCTTTTTTTCTTGATGAAAATATACATAGCCAAAGATACACCATTTCAAAAATTTCTACATGTACAATTTAGTGACGTTGGTTACGTTCATCCAGTTGTGCTTCTATTCTCACTTTTGATGAAGGTTTACAGAACAAAATAGTTTCTCATTAAACAGTTAGTACACATACTGCCCTATGACAATAGTTAAGAACCCCACTACATGTCAACACTGTCCTTACTCAACCTTGGGTTCCCTATCACCAGCTTTCCTATCCCCTTCTGCCTTCTAGTCCTTGTCTGTAGACTACTGTGCCTCATTAGTCCCGTTTTGTTTTATGGGGCTGTCCAGTCGCTGGCTGAACGGTGAACCTCGGGAGTGACTTCACCACTGACCTAAAAGGGTGTCTGGGGGCCATACTCGCAGGGATTCTCCAGTGTCTGTCAGGCCAGTAAATCTGGTCTTTTTTGTGTGTTAGAATTGTGTTCTACATCCTTCTCCAGCTCTGTCCAGAACCCCCTGTTGTGATCCTGGTCAGAGCAGTCAGTGGTGGTAGCCGGGCATACGTAGTGTACTGCACTCAGTCTGGTGGAGGCCTTGGTAGCTGTGGTCCATTAGTCCTTTGTACTAATCTTTTCCTTGTATCCTGTTCTCTTCATTCTCCCTTGCTCCTGAAGGGGTGATACCAGTGGCATATCTCAGATGGCTGCTCACAGGCTTTTAAGACCCCAGACGCTACTCACCAAGATAGAATATACAACATTGTCTTTATAAACTGTGTTATGCCAGTTGAGCTAGATGTTCCCCAAGACCATGGTCCCCACAGCCCTCTGCCCAACAATTCAGTCCCTCAGGGAGTTTGGAAGTATCTATGGACCTTCCATGACCATTCCTTGTACAAACTGTGCTGGCTTCCCCAGTACTGTGTACTGTCTTACAGTTCAGTGAAGTTACCACTTACTTATCGACTATTTAGTATTCCCCCCCACCCCCCCATCCCTCATAACCAACAAAGATTGTTACTTTTTGTGTGTGAACTTTTTCACGAGTTTTTACAATAGAAGTCTCATACAATATTTGTCCTTTTGTGATTGACTTATTTCACTCAACATGATGTCCTCC